AAGGAAAAGATGGAACAAGAAGCAGAAATCTTCTAAAGGGACCAGATCTACATTGCTGGAACCCCTTACTCCCATTACCTCAGACGAGATAAATGAGAGCGAACCTGACAGTAGTGACAAGCGTGATAACGGTTGTAACCGTAGACATAGCTGTTCGACTGACACACCAGACATTAATGAGGACGAGGGCAAAGACTTACCCAACTCCCATATCCCCTTTGGTCCCTTCATGCAAGAAGAGGAATTAAAGCAGACTGATGTAGGGAATAACGCTGAACCTGTGTCCCCTATTTCCTTGGATGCGGCCGCATGCCTAATGGAATGTGTTAGTTCTGACTTTACACCAAAAGGAGTTGACTGCGATGGCGGCAACACACCTCCTGATTTGCTTTCACTGGACTGTGCATATGAAAGCCAGACCAATGTGAAAATAGCAGATGAGGAGGAGAGTTCTCTGGACGTCTTGACGATCTTAGAGACTCGACATAAACAGGACAATTTTGCTAGGCCTGTGCACGTCGATAATGGACAGACAGAAGTGTTTGCCATTATCGAAGAAGAAAATACTTTTCGTGAGCAGGGAGACAACTTGTCTCTGCTGCCCTGTACAGCTGGGGCGACAGGGATACTTCTGATGAAGGACCCTGAAGCAGAACAAGCCATGAATAGTAGGGAACCCCAACATTCTGGTCCTTTAGTACTCTTTGCTTCGAATGAAGTGACAGGGGTATCTCAGCTGATGGTGGAAACTTCATTGCGAAGAAATCCCACCTTACAGTCTACAGGAAACCCTGAATTTTTTACTGATTTGACTGTATACCCTGACTTGATTTCGTGCTCTGACTCTGGACTGATCTTTGTTAAAGACAATTCCACCCTGACAAATTGGCAAGGTAAAGACAGAATGCACCGAAGAGGCAACCAATGGACACTCTTCAGAGAAATTGTTAGTGGTAAGTGGCACTCACTTCGTGGGATCACGATGAGTGAAGATATCCCTCGTTTTAAGAGGAGATTTGTGACAGATTATTTCAAGATCTGTAGACGGAGGAAAAGAGGATCCAACCTGACTGCAACTAATCCTTTTAGTAGAAAACTTCAAGCTCTCCCTAGGCAGATAGGGCGCGGCGAAGTGAGGAAACGCACAGAGGTTGTCAGTCAACGGCGCAGAGGAGTCCCGTTGACAAAGCATGGATCTTTGATTATCCGATGGAAGGAGGAACCTCCGGACAAAGGGACATTACCGAGCGACTGCTTGGAATACCCGCTCAATACCAGGATCAATGACAGTATTGCATTATCCTGGAGGAAAGGACATGGGATATCTGCAGACGAGTGCAGAAATTCCCACTGCCATAAAGAATACTGGAAACAGAAAACTTATGGGCAGTTATGCAAAGGAGGACTTGAAATTCTTGGAAGCCACAGAGCGTGCAGATGTGCGGTCAGGGTGACCGAACTTAAGGGAGAGGCTATGTGACAATACGCTCGGTGACTCCAGAATGTTATTCCTTAACCTACTTTTATTTCTTTGTATTTTGAAAGTATACAGGAAAATAGGGATTTGGATACATTCTTTATTTTAAGTAGGCGAAATGAACAAGCATTTAATTCTCCTGGGAGGTTGGCGATATCACACACTAAAACTGTTTCCCAGACGTTAAGTGTTGAGGTACAGAGATAAGACTGACCAAGCAGACTTACTGACTGGAGATTGACACACCATCCGTTGGTGTCAGATATTTTATCTCTTAGCCAGACTTTTAGGAGCAGCTAACTCCGGCTAATTGTGTTTAATCCCCCTGAGGTTACCTAACTCGACGGCAGGTCCGACGGTCACTATTGACACAGTGAGCGGAAAGTGTTGGCAGAAGAATTGACAAAGTCGGATTTTATTGTGATGACAGGTCAAGTAGACTGGAGGTGTGACTAGGCCTATTAGCTGGGACCAGCTTAATTGAACCTGTAGAATGTGAGCGTGGGAATGCAAACAATTGTTGTACAGTCACTGACTGACAGTGAATATACACCCACAAGGGAGGAGCTGTGATATCCCTTAATGAGAATGGTTTTAGGCGTAATGTAGGAGGAGCTTGATAAAAGTTATAAAGGGCTGAACTCTAGGTCTGGTAAATGAGATCCTGTCGAGCACATGCCATCTGTTGGGCTTAACCTAAGCTTGAGACAGAACTTTTGGCATCGTGGTTTCATTTTTCCAGGTAAGATCGACATTAGGTTCATATCTATATTTTATGATAGAGATCTGTCTTTTTGCTCAAGTGTGTCTTCATCACTTTGTAGTACTCCTAGGCGGACATTTCTTCATTCTCGTAGGGCACTGTCACATTGCTTTATTTCCTATTTGATAGTGTCATGAATGTTTTTCGTGCACATGTGTTTCAATGTTGTAAAACCTAAATGTTGTTGTTGCCATTGAAATTTAATGAACTATCATGTTTTTGAAATCACAAGCGTGAAGATAACTTTGGCAATCTTATCACGTGTGGTTAAAGTGAATCTGTATTACATACAGCTAACACACTGAAATGTGTTTAACTCTCGGGAGGCTAACGCGGAGATTGATCCCGGAGAGTAAATCCACGAGATTTGTTATTTGATTCGCCCCAGAGCTATTGTTAGCATTCTGGGCGCGTCGATTGTTCCAAGCATAGATTCCAGAACTGGTTCTGTCTGACTGATTGTCATTTTGAGTCTGTACGAGAGATAGCACCTGACGTAGAAGACTTGACTATCATTACAGGACGTGTAGAGGAAGGCAGAAGATGTAACAGTTGGAATGTGAGACATAAGCCCTTCCAAATTGGACAGGAGTGAATGTGAGCAGGAGGGAGAGATGAAATGTTTTATTTAAATAAACATGCTTGATGTTAGTATAATATACATGCTTAGTGTACATCTAGAGCAGATACTACAAATATGCGCTTGTTTCTTCATTCTCCAGTTCCCACATTGGGCAGGGACTAGTAGGCTTCCATTATTTGCCGACCGTCGAGTGTAACGACCTGCAGAAAGCAGTGAGGACGACAAACTGGAAAAGATAGGCAGGGTCTCAAGCCGAGAACTGTCCTGATGAGCTAAGTTATGTACAACTTTAATGTCATCTATAACATCATCCCAACTCTACTAGCCTAAACAAGTTCATTTTATTTTAGTCAGATTTATTAAATAAATCTTTTCGATGTTTAAACATAGTTGAGTAAATTGTGTACTTAGGTTCAAGTGTCTTTGTGCATATTAGTTTACTTCAGCTAACAAATATTTAAATCACTTGATGGGGGCTTTTTAAGTAATGCCAGGAGAGGAGACCAGTCGCAGGGGTTAACTGAGCACCTGGATTATATCACAGTGGGTGTATCCAGATATCTATCTATCCCTTCTCCTTCTCCTGTGGATACAAGTACAGCAACTTTCATTTCATGGAACGAGCCACTCGCTGTTTTCTTGGCTATCCAGGACTGTCTAGGATCAACATAGCTTAGATAATAGTCCAGTTTCTCACGTGGGTGGGCATTGTTAAGGTTCAAACCCACACCCTCACTATATCAGTGTATTTACCCACGTGGGCGCGCGACAAATACAGAAAATAAAACTATGCTGGCTGCTGAAGCTGGGGATAGTGTTTATGATAGTCCAAGAAAGTCAGTTCTCAACTAGAAAATCAATGTGCATTATATAGCTCTCTTATATTCATATTAACCCAAAACATTATGTATATATATATACATATATACACACACACATACATATCAATGGTGTTGTAATAGCACAACCAGCACACACAATTCTTCTTTTTACATTCAAGAGCCGCAAAGTGAGGTGGAATTTTCGGGTTGCTTATCCACTTCTGGACTTTGCTTCAAAAATGTACTTTTGCCCTTGTTCTAAAACAAGAGATCTGTGCCTGTTCTACAATATGAAATCTGCGCTTGTTCTAAAACTTGAGTTCTGCACTTGTTCCAAAACTTGAGTTCTGCACTTGTTCCAAAACTTGAGTTCTTCACTTGTTCCAAAACTTGAGTTCTGCACTTGTTCCAAAAATTGAGTTTTGCGCTTGTGCCAAAACTTGAGTTTTTGCGAGCACATCCGTTAAACAGATCTGGATCATCTGTATGTAGACTGTTAGTTGCACACCTCACGGGCAGACGAACCGGCACTTACAAGGAAGCACTTGTAATTAGTCAACTTTTACTACATGCCGGTTGGGGAACGGTAAGTCTACTCCTTTTGTAACTCACAATGGGAACCCGGAACCCACAATAGGACAGCACACACACACACATATATAGCTCAGATATAGAACATAACAAGAAGTTAACAGTTCAAGAGGACCGATTTCATTACACTGAGGCCCCTGTGTGGGTTCCAGGGCCCTATTATAGGAAAAACAAGAATAGACCCACTGCCTACCCAAAAGCATGTCGTAAGAGTCGACTAATTGGGAGCTTTCTTCGAAGTCGGAGTGCATCTGCCTGAGAGGCAAGGAACCAGCAGTCTGCATACAAATGAGTCAGATCTGTAAAACGGATGCACACGCAACACTCAGGTTCTGGAACCGGACTGCAGGCCAGCAGTGGATAAACAACCAGAACTTTCCACCAGTTTAAAGCTGGTGAACGCGAAGAAGAAAAAGATTACACTGAGTTATCCCACAAGGTTTGGTCTCTTTCTGTAAAAAAAAAAGCTGCTTGTTAAGACTACCACAAAGCACAAACTTCTGCAGCTCCAGTGAAAATCCCCCTGGATTTCTTGAAAAAAAAATTATGAACTGAACACGTGCATGACATGAACCTAAGACCTATACAGCATGAGACAAACAGCTTGATCATGTCACCACAAAGACGCAACCTCCCTCAAATGAAAAGAAAATGCGAGCACAATCACTTGTTGCTAAAGGAGATCAAAGCACCATCTACCCGAAGGCAGGAAGATGAAGATGAGGTGTAGGCTGACACACACTAGACAAAACAATGACTACTTACTGTGATGTTTATCCGCCAGTAAGATGAGAGAATTGGAAATGTCTCTCCGTCTGTAGAAACACATAACTTTGGCTTCAACATTTCCATTTTGAGTCTGAAATATCAAGACAACGTATGAATCTATGCCATAACCATTTTTTTTACCTTACTGTCTTAAGTTACCAAATAGTCGTGAACATGTGGAAATTTCCAAAAACTAATTCTTACTAAACCTTCTTCACCTTCACTGGCTGTAAACTGGCAAATAGTTCTGGTTGTTCGTCAACTTCTGGACTTTGGTCTCGTTCCAGAATTTAGTTTTGTGTGCACATCTGTTCTACAGATCTGGTTTCATCACTTCTCAGGCAGAATTAGTCGTCTTTTATGATATGCTTGTTCTGGAGAAGTGGCTCTACACCCCCCCCCCCCCAGAACCAACACATGTTTTTCCTCTTAAACTCAATTTTAACTGCAGGTCCTAAGAGTTTGGTTCACGACAATTTCATCTTCTTTCTAAAGTGATAAACTCTGCTAAATATTTACATATTTTTAGTGCCAGCAAAAGGGATATTTAAAACGTAGACACACACAAAAAAAGAAATTCAACAGAAGTTATCCCGTCAAGATAGCTTTGACATAAAAATGTTAAAGGCTGAGGGAGGATTAAATTCAGTGTATAATTTCATACAGCATAAATAACAGCATTTCTTCCTGCAAAGAAGCTGTTTACCCACACAAAAAAGTCAGCAGCGGCAGTGACAAACCCCCCCCCCCCTCCCCTTGATCTCAGAAAACATCCACACTGGCAAACTGAGGGACAGAGACCAAAACCCAAGCAGGCTATATTTACAGGTAGTCAAATAACACTGTCATCATTCAGACTTGGAAAGCTACAAGATATTGACCTCAAATTATCTGTGCCCAACCTTCAAGAGTGAAGATGTGTTTAATGTTTAATTAAGCATCAACATCACAGCACTTGAAACAGTCCCATAAGTGTTCTGTCCCCATCTTCAGCAGCAAGCGCTATGTTCCAATGGTACCAATTGCAGTCTGAAGATGTGTTCAACATATAAAAACCTAAATGCTAGTCGCTCACCTTATTCAGTTCCTCAATTCGCCTGATTTGATATGGCGCCGTCGACGATGTTTCAAAGAATACATAATCTGCAAAAGGAGAAAATACTGCAAGATAATTCGCTGTGTGAAGTACAGAGCGCCAGGTGACTAGTCATTCAATGTATTGGGTAATTAGTGCCAGCATCAAGCTGTGTACCTGCTGCTAGCCAGGTGAGAAAAAAATTGAACCATCTCCGAAACCTATTTGGCATAGAGGGCTAGACCTTCATCTTACAGACCAATCAGCACTCTGTCGGTGATGTGGTCAAAATCATGCCCTCTGTCTTCACTTCTGAAGACTTTTACCTGCTTCGTACTCTTTCAAGGCTGTGTCATTTTTATTAATATCTCATGTATGAGACTCAGAGAGCAGGAAATCACCAAAACCCTGTTCAACCCTATAAGTTATACTAGGGGGGTCTTCTGTCCTGTATCTGCCAATGGAGGATAGGCCCCCAGCCAGACCATGCCTAGTGGTACCATCCTCTGTCGTGGCAAGCAGCTCATGGGGTACGTTACAGTTATAAATGTGGATAGATCTGCTGCCTTCCTTTCTCTCAGTGTATAAGTACATAATGTGAGAGAATACATTCAAGCAGAGAAAGAGTGGATGTTTTTCTGCTCTATTTGTTTATAGCCTATGCCTTGATGCCAATTTCTTCTCTCTTGGTCTCCCTTCCCTTAAAACTTGTCCTTTTTATTATGTACTAAAAGTTGTATCCTTCTAATGATGCTGTGTATGCTTTCTTATATATAGTGTGAAATATACAAGGTCTGACAATTAAGTGATGAGACTGATTTGATTATTATGAAGCAAAGCATGGAATCCATCCTTCATCTAAGATCTGGCAACTTTTCATCACCGCCTGATAAGCAGACAGCAAACAAGCCGCCATTTTGTTGACCTAGTCAGAGGTGCATTGTTACATAATCAGCACGGAGCAAAAAGCCAACATTAAATTATGTTTAAAACTCAGAAAAAGTGCCACCGAGACAGCTAAATTGATGCAACAAGTTTATGGGGATAATTGTTTATCTTGTGCATAAACTTGCAGGTGGTATTCACGATTCAAAAGTAGTGTGGAAGTGATTACTAACGCAACTAGACTTAGGCGCCCAATTTCTGTTCGTAATGAAGATCTTATTGCAAAAGTCGGAGAACGGATACAAGAAGATTGTTTTTTGGCTGTCAGGATGAAGGCAGATGAATTTGATGTTAATAGAGAGACCATTTGTAAAATTTAAGTGCAAGATTTTGGCAAGAAAAAAGTTGCTTGCTGGTCTGTGCCTTCTTCATGACAATGCATCAGCTTAACGGGCGGTAGTTATACAGGAATTTTTTGGCCCTAAAATGAGTGTGTGTTCTCAACCATGCACCCTATTTTCCAGATTTGTCTCCTTGTGATTTTTTTCTATTCCCAAAATTAAAGCGACCATTGAAATAATGATTCTTTGTTGATGACAGCCGTAACGATGTGGTACCAGTGTTTGTTAGATCGTGCCACTTGCTTTTCAATGCACAAAGGGCTTACTTTGAATAAAATACAGATTATATCTTCAACTTTTAATGATTTTAATTTTTATGGAATTAGTCTCATAACTCATTGTAGGACCTTGTACATGAATGCTGTAAAACAAAAGTGTGAAATGTACATAACGTGTATGAATGCTGTTTTGTGTATCCTCCACTACAGAAGCAACCCCATCCATTTTTGGCAGTTTGAGATCTGACTAGGCAGTTGTACGTTCATTTGTTTGCCACTGCTTTCTGGGCAATCAGGTCACAATAACACTGTTGAAATCAACGTAAAGTGGTCTGCTGCCACAGTCTACAGCTGTAGCAGAACCGAGCATCTTGGAATTAGACACGGCTCTGGCAACTCCTAAGCTACAGCCGCTGTCACAAACAGGAATTAAATGTACAGTAGTGTTTTGTCCCACTGGTACTTGACAACACGGATACTCCAGCTGTCAAACTAATACAAGAAATAAAGTGGCTGACCATATCTTCCACACTCTATAAAATACAGGTCTAGCCCTATATGCCCATTACACATAAAGGCACGGAAAAAGATCCTCACCAGAGACCTACAGCTCTAAATCAACAGACTAGCCAGTGCTGTTGTGCTTCTTGATGAGAATGTAACATAAGTCATTGATGCTGCTCATTTCTGTGGCCTTTTTAATTAGAAATGTAAGTATCCCTAAAGAGATTATTTTATCTGTGAAAATGTTTTCACCAAGAAGTCATTCGTAGTTAGTCTCCAGGCTTCTCCTACTGTTCATGAGTGTTCAAACCACCACCCACAAAATCAACAGATTTGCTGACATGATGCCTCAAACTTCGATATAACCCAGACAGTAAATTAAAGTCTTTACAACAAAGACTCTCTGCTTGACACCCATTCATTCCACTCAGCTACACCCACAAACACATATCCATCTCCGGAACCATAATGATTGCAGGAATGCTCTAATGATTGGGGAAAATATTCTGTCATGCTTGTGAAAGTAGCACTGGATCAGTGTCTACAAAGCAGTGTTACCAATAATCAAATATTTGAAAAATCGGTTAAGTGACGTTAATCTCCCCAAAAAGAGAAGTTCACTTTTCCTTCACAAGTTTGCTGGGCTGGTCAACTTTCCTGAAGGTTACGGTTGTATCCCACTCTGCTGTTTGCTTTCTGTCTTGCATTTACATTTTCATTCCGAGAAAGAGAATGTCTGTGACATACGTTGCAGCACTCTTGTGAGGAACAGACTAAATTTTACTTCTCTTAGCATTCGCCAGCTGTAAACTCAGGCAGACAGTTTTGACTGTTTATCCACTTCTGGACTGTGGCCTTATTCCAGAGTTTTGTGAAAATATATATTTTCCAGATTTGGTTTATTTGTATGCAGACTGTTGGTTCCTCATCTATGCTAGGAGGCAGCATGTCTGTTCTCTGTTTCCCTTTGTTGGGGCCATGGAATCTACACGGGGAAGACCCTCAATAAAATGACACCCCTCTTGCAACTGTAATATTCACACATTAAAATTAGCTCTCCCCTCGTGGTTTCTGGAGCCACACTCGTTGGGAAGGTGGGGGGTTGGGGAAGAATAGACCCACTGCCTCTCTAACAAAAGTAAGAGTCTGCTAATTAGGGTTTTTTACTTAGTGGGAGTGCATCTGCACAAAAAGCTTGAAACAAATAAGCCAGTTATGCGCACCACTATAACCCGTCAGAAAAAAACAAGCCCTCGCATTCTGTCATGTGAACACAGCTATTATTTTGTACAGATACCCCTCCATGGGGAAGCAGATGGCAAAGTGATCAGATCACTAGGCTCTTGTGTGGGAGACCCGGGTTCAAATCCTTGACAAGGTGATGGAAGGTTATTCTCTGTCAGGGGTGGGAAAAAACATGCCAACATGCACTAGCAATGCTGTACTCATCCTCAGACTCAAGACCAGGTGGAAATACACCTGCCCTTTTAAAAAAGCAGGTCCTAAAAGGCAAGCGCTTATTAAAAGTTAACTGAAATCAAATGAGTTGGACATATAGATGCCAGCAGATATCACAGCTTTGTAGTTAACCAAAACACAATGTGTCAATCACCCTTTCAGGAGGGTATACAGAAGAAGTCAAGACTGCCTTTCTCTGCCAGAGTGGCAAGGAACAACTAACAGCACACACATAAGCCAGTAGAACAAATGTACATGCAAAACTCAGGCCCTAGCACAAAGCCAGTCTAAATGGATCAAAAACCAGGACTTTCCACCACAGCCTTTAGCCAATGAACAAGGGAAAAAGAGGATAATTCTGCGACCCTCTGTAAAACTGGTCACGGATTCTCAGCTAGAACCCGGTGTTGGAATGTACAGAAGCCTTTTTTCCCCCACAACATTGGTCCATTGGGTATATATGGTGCTTGACATTTGTAACAGACTAACTACTACTGGACCACAACCACCACTGTACTGCAACTACCACAACCACCAATACAACTGATACTGTACCAAAAACTTCACTGTACGAGTACAACTGCAGAAGAATGGGTTGATGAGGAAGACCAGGGAGCATATGAATGGACAATACAATGAGAACCTTACAATGATAAAGGTTCATAAGCATGCTCCGCACTGGGACATAAACTTTAGGGAGAGCTTCCATAAATCCTTGACATCACCATGGGGGTTCCAGGATGCCGTTTTGGTGGTTGGGGGGGGGGGGGGGGGGGGGGGGGGGGTGGGGGGGGGGGGGGGGGGGGGGGGGGGGGAAGAGAATCAGATTCTGGGGGTGTCCGAATCAATCTAGGGAGAGTAAGAATCAATTTCTGGGGTTGTAAGAATCCATTTCTAGGGGTGTAAATCCATTTCCAGGGATGTCAGAATTAAGTTTTTTTGGGTGTCAGAATCAGTTTCTATTCTGGGGGGGGGGGGGGGGGGGGGGGGGGGGGGGTGTCCAGAATCAATGTCTGTTGGTGTAAAAATCAGTTTTAGTGGGGGGGGGAAAGGGCTGTAAAAGTCATTTCCTGCTGGTGTAAGAATAAGTTTCAGGCGGGGGTGGGGGGGGGGGGGGGGGGGGTAAGAATCAGTTTCTGGTTTGTCCAAATCAGTTTCTGGGGGTTTGAGAATATCAGGACAGAAGAGAAAATGTGATTACACAAACAGGCAGAAGTAAGAAAACACAGAAGTTATTTTTATAATGGTCTGAAGAATAAGATAAATTGAATTGATTTATGGTCAAAGGATTGTACAGAAAAAAAAAAAAAAAAAACGGGCCTCTTCTGGTCAATGTTATTTTATCATTAAAGTTCTTCATCACAGATCTTCAGATGTCAAGGTGAATATATTCCAAGAAAGCAGCAGACAACTTGAAGTTGATATCTGTATAAAGCTGTCCTCAAATAGAACGGGTATGGGTTACAATTCTTCTTCTGCATCTACCATTACAAGTGTGGTTAGCACACTGTGCTGGGGTTTACATCCTATTTCAGAAAATTGTTAATTAGTCATGCTGACGACAAACTTGTTATGGGGGATCAGCGAGTCAATATTAGTCCGTCAAAATGTGGTCCTCTACGAACAGAACACTGCAGGCTTAACTACCACATGCATAAAATAAAGATTGTACAGTCCCCCCAGTGTGCCTGTCAAAAAGGACCCCAAACACATCAGCACATTCTGCAGACCTGCCCACTCTACCTGCAACTTCAAAAAGACACCTGGCCTCAAGAGCAGAGTATGCAGAGCAAGCTATGGGGAACCATGCAGGACCTGCAGCTGACATGCGAGTTCATAGAGGCAACCCACCTGATGGTCTGATCTGAGCATACAAATCCGAACGCAAAGAAGAAGAAGAAAGAAAATGTGGTCCTAAAACCTATAAGATGGTCGGCTACAATAATTTCTCTTCTCTGCCTGTTCTTGTTCGCATTTACCATCGATAAGACGTGGTTGTTCCTCCAATGTCGAACTTTGGTCATGTTTCAGGGCCTGGGTGGTGCATGAACATACGTTTTGCTGTACAATGATGATTTTAAAATCTAAATTTATGGACATTTTCATCATTTTATAAATTGCCTCTGGACAGAGAAAATGCCTACCCCCTAACCACCCCCCCCCCCCCCAAAAAAAAAAACATTATAATGGTTGGCAGTTCTAGATGTAACTCTTTACTAAAGGAATACTGGATGGAGGAGTGAAGAGTTAATGGACAACGTTACATGTAGGCAGACTGAGATGAATGTGGGAATGTGCTGTAACAATGCAGGACAGGGGTTATTGGAGACATCACACCTGACCTCCAATGCGGAGATGTCACTTTGATTAGAGCAATATACAGGGCTTATCAATCAGCTGTTAAGAGGACATTTTCATGATCAGATATAATTTCCTTGTCAAACAAATTCTAAAACAGGTATCAAAGATTCCTTATGAAAAGAAAAGCCAAGACAGTAAAGTGGTCACCATATGTCATAATTCGGCAGTGTTTTGTTTTCTTCGCATTCAGCTGTTGTAAAATCCAGTCAACACAAGTTCTGCTCGTTCGTCCAACTGTGGACTTTAGTCTTGTTCCAGAACCTGCGTTTTGCGTGCACATCTGTTTATCAGATCTTGCTTATATGTATGCAGACCACTGGTTCCTTGCCTTTCAGGCAGACGCACTCCCGACTTCGAAGAAAGCTCCTAATTAGTTCACTCCTACGACAAGCTTTTGGGTAGTTAGTAGGCAGTGAGTGGGTCCATTCTTTTTTTCCTCACAATGGGGCCCCGGAACCCACAGGGAGATATAATTCAGTAGTGTAATCTATATGAAGACATGTTATAAGCCTAAAAGCAAATCTGGTATGAGATTTTATTCAGTTTTAGTCAGTATAAAATAAACATTTTTTTTTTCAAAATTTTTTATAGATTGTATGAATGGATGCATCATTATATAATATTTATTTTGTGGGTTTTTTTTTAAACTATAATAAAGAAATACTAAACCCATGAAACTAGGTATATATATACATTTTTAACATTTCATTGAATGTATTTTAGTCTATGTGGTGCAAGTAAGAAAGTGCCTGGTTGTGGCAGGGGGGAAGACTTTGGGACTCCTTTCCATCCATGATCTTCATCTTTATCTTTATCAATCAGCTCATCTAATTCAAGTATGACATTACTGATAATTGTAATTGTTAAAAAAAAATTTATTTAAAGGTGTATAAAACCTGCAAGAGAAGGAAAAAATGAACTTTGCGAGAAACTGAAGACGTATGTTTGAGAATTTGAAATGTGCCGAGGTTGTCAACAGTTTCCCTCCCCACCCTTCTTCTCACAAGTCGACATTGTTATCTTCAACAAATAGTCCCCCAAGACATTCACGGTCTTTGATTACGCCAAATCCCAGTCTATTTTCGCCATTTAATTAATATGTGATGATAGTTTATCAAAAATGGTTTCCAAAAAATGTAAAAAACCGTCATGTTTGACAGGGAGTTTTTGAGATATTGAAAGAACAAAAATCGAAGCGATCGGTGACCGTATCACGCCTCAATGAATGCGCGTGAAATGGCTTCAGAAGGAAGGAAAATATGGCTAAAAGATAAGCTTTACCGGTTAAAAACAACATAATTCGTAAATTACCGATTAAATTTTCTCGAAATAAAGAACTTTAAGAAACTTAAAATTGCTTTATGGTGTCAGAAAAGCTGTGAAAAGTTTTTCAAAGTATCAATGCGCTGTTCAGTTTTGGTGGTGAGGCATGCTCGCTACTTTCCTCTTTCAATCAAACATGATCGACAACAATTTTTCCCACTTACCTCCGACTCTGTACATATTCGCCGACATTTTTTGCATGGGTAAACGATATCAACAACTTCAATGGATCAACGATGGCGATAATGGCCAGCATGTGTTCGCGGGGCATGCACAGGTTAAGTCCGACCCCCAATCACCCCCCAAAGAGACTGATCACAAAGTCGCCATTTCTCGGACCTACTACTGTCTTCCTCTTTCTGCCAGTGACGTCATTCGTCCTTCGGCAACGTTCTCTTTTCACTTGTCAAAATCCACCTCAGGAGGAAGACTTGCTTCAGACATATAACAAACTGGGTATCAAACTGCATGCCTGGGTCTCAGCTCTGTGACTCTTTTGTCATTCTTTAAAATTTTTGCCTCCTAGGGTCAAATTTTAATTAATTATAGTTTATTATATCTGCCTATGTGTAATTAAAAGTCATAACAACAAAGAGTATCATAGTAGGTGGCATAAGCGTTTTTGTCAAAACGTGTTCTCATTTCTATTACAACTATTTGAATTTTGATTCATCCCATTCTAAGTTTAGCTCCTGTGGACAAACGTTAATTAATTACAGTTTAATATAGTTTTCTATATGTAATTAAAAAGCATAACAACAGAGAGAATTATAGTAGGTGACATAAGCGTTTCTGTCAAAACTTATTCTTTCTTATTTAAATGATTTCAGCTGTTTATGTCCTGCGTCTTTCTTTTAGGGTCAACCATTTCTGGGGTCAAACGTCCATTAATTATAGTTTATTACATGACAATGTGTAATTAAATTAAAAGTCATAACAAAAAATATTACTATCGCATATTGCAGTATTGTCTGTACTTTCTGTTTAATGGGCACAACGTTTTTGCATCTTGCGTGATTCTTTTTAAAGTTTACCTCCTAGACCCAATCTTTAATTAGTTATAGTTTATTTTATTTTCTATCTGCAATTAAAAGTCAGAGCAAAAATAGTGGATACTATATGTTATCACAGTGTTCATTATTTTGAAATAGTCTCAGCCATTATGTCTTGTGTCAATATTTTCGAAATGTGACCTCATTATGCCAAGCTTTAATTATCTGTAGTATATTCCATAGTTCTAAGCGTCATTAGAAGTCATAACACCTACATGTTAAATTTAGCTTTTGTTTGTTAATAGATACTTTATTAGCACATCTTTTTAAGTCTATTGAAATTTAACTCTTAATGTTAAACTTTAATTGTTTATAGTTTATTGCAGTTTGTTAAGGGTAATTAAAAGCGAGAACAAAAAGAGTGTTGATACTATAGTGTATATGTTATTATCAAATTTGTCCAGTTTCGTATACTGGTTGAATCTCTTATCGTTACTTTTGCAATTTACCTCCTAACCTCAAACTGTAATTAATTATGGTTACCACAGAATGGTAAACGAGTGCTACAGGCATGCTGTTCACATGCATTGAGATATGCCAGGTTTGCCAGGTTGGCATTCCAATGGAAACAAAGCTGTGTGGAACAGAAGACGTGCGTCCCTCCACAGACATCATAGAGACATGCTGTCTTCTCGTATGAAAATCTCTGGCAGTGAGAACGAAAAGAAGAAGAAATATAGTTTATTATACTTTTCTATCCAACCTAAAATGAATGTACCGGCTAAAATCCTGGGAAGTAAAGGTCGCCTTCGTGATGTTCACCACATCAGACCGATTGGTCTTAAACAAACGAGTCCAGTTTCATTTGCACGATGTCCCTTTTGCATACACTTTTCTGCAAGTAATGGAAGCCACAACAAAAGGGGTGGCGGTACGTGTAATAATATGATTTTGTTTAAATAGGTTCCTTCTTGTTTATTTAAAAATAACTGTTTGAATCGTCCATTATTCTTCTCACATTTTACCGCCGAATATCAAACTGTCGAAAGATCCCATGACGGGCCAGTTTGGCTTTTTGTGGAAAACCAAGCGGGGCGGATCAATGGAGGACATTGTTTATTTTGTGTATTTTGTTCGTAGTTGTAACATTGTCTGTGTGAGCAATGTGCTTATGAAGGCTTCAAAGCTGCAACGTTCTCTTTTAGTTTGTGACTGTGGTAATGTGAAGCTGGCTAGTTCTGTTTTTCGTTTCATTTGATATCTTTTCAACTGAGGACTTGCGTCGCACCTCAACCGTCACAGAGGATTGCGGCTTTCTAATCAGACAATCAGTGGTAGAGAGAACTAATTGCAGAAGAATACACTATAATTCAATATACTTTATAACATTTCTCAAAATACAATTAAAAGTAATTCCCCCCCCCCTCCCCCATTCAAAGTCATATTACATGTCATAATCGTATCTGTTAAAATGGTAATACTTTATCACGTGTTAGTTCATGATGTTTATTGCCATTTTTTACCCTTTTTGTTTTTAATTACACAGTTAATACATCACAATATCAGAATTTAACTTTTAGACTTATACTTTAATTATAATTATTTAAATACACTTAATTTATAAAACTAAATACTGAGCCAAAATAAAATGGTGTATTAATACATGATAGTATTGTTCTGTCAGAATCTTAGAAAAGAACTACTTATAAATCTTTATCCACTTTGGACGACAAGTGGCCCGGGGTAGTGCTTGCAGTAGTGGGAACATCTTTAGTGCAAGACAGCCTAACATATGACACCACAACATCTAGCATGAGAATGGAGGTGGAGGCGGTAACTGCAACTCTCCGGTGGCTAGAGAACAAGATGCATACACATGTCCTAATTGTAACAGACTCTGAAAGTATGCTGAAAAAGGTGAAGACAGGGATGCTTCGAGCAGAGTGGCTAGCTTCACTGAAAAGGTCACGGGTGGTGAGCATACTTTGAATCTTTTCTCTAGGCTATGCCGATGTGGTGGGCGATGAACAGGCAGACAGATTGGCTGGATCCGCACCACTGGGTGGTGAATTGATACATGACAAGGCAGATGTGGTCAAGGCCCTTTGGGAACAAGCAACGAAACCAGTAGAGATAGAAGATTTTTATGGCCTGGAGAGAATGAGGTACCTGGGTGTAACCAGAGTGTCTGGCCGGCTCACTACACTCAGAGGAAAGGCAAGACAGACTTTTAACCATAAAACGGGCTAAATTCAATAGGAGGAAGAAATAGGAGAAATGTCTGGGCAACCACCGGTATCAACAGAGAAGATGTCGCTATACTGGAAATATTTTGAGGTGAGATGAGCAAAGAATCAACAAACAGTCACTGAGATGGGAAATAAAAGGACTAAGAAGACGTCCAAGAGAAACTCTGAAGCGAACGGTGATGAGAGAGACCAGAGCTACTGGACTGGATTCAATCCATGATATTGAAGTGATTGCACATGTGAAATATAATGTGCACAACAAGAGAAGGAGGATTGAGTTTGAACAACGGACCAACATCATGGCATACGGTTAGTAACCCATAAGTGCTTCGTTCTTCTAACTCAAGTCTGAGTCCGAAGAAGCTTAGCACAGTGCACAGGCTCTTTAGCACCGACGAAGATCCTGAAATACTTTGGGGAGATTTTTAAGTCCAAATTTTGCCCGGGCAGCGCCGTTAAGCTACTCTTTTCAATTTCCAACTGCCAAGAGATTTTTTTACGTGCGCATTAATGCACACGGGCGTCCGATCTCACTACCCAGAGACCAGGAGAAATTACCAGAAGTCCAAGTCCACGTGAGAAAATTCCAGCCCTTACCGGGGATTGAACCCGGAACCTCCAGCACTCGAGGCGGACACCATGTCTCGAGACCACACAGCTCCCTACCAGGAGAACGAATGAATGGAATACATGACAGTAGTTAAATATCATCACAAGTAAGTCAGTTTTACCCCAGCTGCCCTTCTTTTCTAGGTCGTCAGGCTGAAAGGGTTAATTACTTGCTCATCAACGATATTAGAACTCGAAAATAAATGAATGGCGTGTTCTTTAACTACACTGGGGGAGGGGGGAAGGGCAGTGATGCAGTGGAAATTTATAGCAACACATTTCAGTCACTCAACATGTCTAAAACTATTAAATCAAAAAATATCTACAAATATAGTTATTATTAACCATGCCGTCCGCATGTGGGATATTAGTTAGTTAGTCTTTCATCTTGTGTCGAGTGCGGCACATAGGGCAGAGGTCATGACTCTCCATGCATGGCTGTTCGTTGCAATCTGTTGTAGGTCTTGGATGTTTGAGTGGCCCATGAGCGAGCCTTCCCTGATGATAGTTCTACGTAGGGTTTCTCTTGGTCTTCCACGAGATCTTTTCCCCTGTGGTGTCCAAATGAGGGCTGGTAAGGAAGTCTTGATTTATCCATTCTAAGGGCGTAGCCGACATAGTTCCAGCGGCGTTTTCGTATAAAAGACGAGGGATATAATTTTTCGTTATTTGAAGTCCCACCCTGGCTTTTGCCGAGGCCCTAAATATAATCGGGTCATAAGTGTGGCCAAGCGGCTTAACGGAGTTTCTGGGACCTCCCCACAGGTGATCCTCATCCGCATGGTGACACTTTGTGTCACCATGTGTTTGTCGCTTGTGGGATATCCTGGTGGGGTGCAACTTACACACATTCACACATGTCTACGAATATAATTTTACACGTTTGCCTGTTTTCAAACTAATTCCTTGACTTTTATCAAACGGAATAATGATGACAAGTCAGTCAGATTCAACCCCCTCAGGACATTCACCAGGTTCCACCACGCGGATGAGGATCACCCGGGGGAGAGGTCCCAGAAACCCCTTTCAACCGTTAGTTTGTTATATGAGAACTCCCAAATTCAGCCGGGGTAGGGTTTTGAAATAACGAAAAATTGCGTCCCGTATCGAGACGACAGATACATGATGATATTTTCAACCCCACCAGGACAGTCACCGAGAGTAAACACTCGATGACACAAAGTGCCACCCTGCGGATGAGGATCACCCGGGGAGAGGTCCCAGAAACCCTGTTCAGCCCATAGGTTGGGTTACATTAGCACCCCCGGCAACAGCTAGGGTGGGGCTTTAAAACAACGAAATTTCGTCCGACATTGGAGCGGGCAGTTTTACTGAAACGGGATAATTTGTG